GAGCACTAACTGTACAATCTTGGTATTTCCTTTGTCCATTTATAAATATTATATTTCTGTATCAATAATTTTTTTTCTTGTCTTTCTCCTTTTGCTTGCTCGTTTGCCCTTTTTTTTAATGACTAATAAAGAATGTTTTAAAAAAGAAAAACGGTGGTGCAGAATACTGAATTAAAGGAAATACATAAACTAAGCATGTTAATACTCTGAAATGTCACAGGAGTCTGGTGGGCAAGAGTATGAATGCAGCCCTGGTGCACAGCAGCCTTGCCAAGCTGACTTATTTTCAGACGTTTCTAGCAATTAGGGTTTGTACCAAAATTCTTCTTTGTATCTGTTGTAAAATACCTTTAAACATTTTTGATAATAGTGCTATACTTCCTGGAGTAGATAAAACAAACACGTTCAGAAGTCAACTCTATCTAGTTTAATGTGTTCATTAGTTTTCAGAGTAGAGTCTAAATGGTCCCTTGGATTGTAATAATCTTTAGAATGTGGTGAAGTCTGATAGTTTTCTGGGTGGATAAGAAATGCAGAATAGGAAATCTTATTTTTTATTTATTTGGTGTTGGAGAGAGGAATATCACAAAAATGTTTTAGTGCTGCTTCAAGCAATCACTAGGGTTTCTTTTTAAAGTTGTACAGTATATTACAGCCAACTTTTCTTTCAACAGAACTTGTGAATGGCATAATGTTCTCAACCCTCTATTCAATCCTACAAAGCTTGAAGTAAAGGCAAGGAGTTTTAGAATAACAGAGAAAAATAAAACACCATGAACCACCTTGTCAAGAACAGTAAGCCAACCCCTTGAAAATTAGCTTTAAAAAGCCAATCTTATGAAGAATCCCTCTACTGTTTCAGAGGAGCATTCATTCCACAAAAGAGATTGGAGGCAAGGGGAGACATTTAGTACCACTCCAGCTGAAATCTTAAATTAAAGGATTTGAGAAATGAATGCATGAATGAGGTAAAGTATCCAGGAGAGTGTATTTGGAAGACAAGACACACAACGGAAAAGTCCTGTTGCCCATTCAACCACTGATTGTTTCTCTGAAGCTGGGAAACAAAAAAAGAGCTAACAATAAATATCTTGAAGAAAGAATAGGAGCATGTAGCAGATTCTTTGGCTACAATTGTCCAAGCTCAATATGTGAGTTGCAAAGAACAGAAATTAAAATTGTTGACTGGTTGAAATGGAATTGTTTCCAGGTTTCCTCAGCTTTGTTCTATAAGCCTTCCAAAAGTTTTTATCCATGGATCTATTTTAGCAAATTCAGCCACAGTATTCAGATTTTCCTTCCTTATTCATTCAGCCATGATAAGGACTCATACATATAAATTACAGAATTCAGGATGTTATACTGCAAAATAGTTTAAGTTGCTCAGTAACCATTGTCTGCATTTCAGAATTTCAATACATCTTTATGATATGTGCATTATAAATAACAGACCAAGAAATAGAAATGAGAATACAAATAATATGGCTTCCTAAAGATTACAGACAGAAATCAAAATGAAAATATATGAAAGAATTAAAAAAAACCCAAACACACCCTGAATACAATTTTTTCAATTTTATAGCTGATGAGATAAATGTTACCAAAATAAAGCAGTTAGTTCAATGTCAATAAAACAGGAGGGGCATGAAATGGAGTATTCTGAAATAAAGCACAGCTGGCTGGAACATTGAACAGTGCACTCTGCACTGTAACATATTGTGGCAGGATCAGTTATATGTAGAAACACAGATAATGGATTCATTTCAGAATCAGTGAATTGCACTACAGTCCCACTGAAATCAATGTGAACAATTCAACTGTACTAAGTAAAGCCATGTTAACTTCCACAGAAATCCCACTAAGTTTAGCTCTATTGACATCTTATGAATTCCAAACCCTCTTCCTCCACTGATGTTGCCTACTGGCATCATCTCCTATAGATCTTCAATGGATAGGTAGTCCCCATTTTATGAACAAGTTCCATTCCCTGAGGTCTGTCCTTAAGTCAAATTTGTATGTAAGCTGGAACAGTATTACTGTACTACTGTATAAGTAGTATTGCATAATGAACTTGAACCATTGTGTATTTAACTTGAATTTTGCTACAGTAGGCTCTGTTCTTAACTATTGGTTGTCCTTAAATTGGGTGTTCTTAATCTGGGGACTACTTATACTGAATTCAAATATCTGCAGGACAGTAGCCTCACGGTTCTGGCTCATATGAAAACAAAAACATGAATATTCTTATGTACACTTACTCTTTTCCTGCAGGCATTTATGTTCAATATGCAAATATCTCCAGCAGAAAGATGGCAGTGGATCACCACTGGAGGCAAGCATTCAGATTTCATTACATATAAACACAACTTTTGCTTGAATCCAATCTAAGTATATGTAATTGGATGTATATGCAATAAATGTTAGACTATCCTAATTCAACCACGCTTTCTAAGGAATCTGAGGTGTGAGGATGGGCATGGTCCTATCGATTAGCAGAATGCGGAAGTTATCTCAGGTAGCAGATGCTAAAAATCAGGGGGACCAGCAGCACAAGTCATTCTTTGGTGACCTGGGTTGCTCCTCTCTACTCTAGTACTAGGTTGGGTGTGCCATCTTCCTGTCCTTTGCTCTTAAACTAGTCTTTCAGTATCAGAGATAAATCCCAATCTGTTTCACCCATATCACATCACACTATCATGGCTAATTTCAAAGAGATCATGTTTTTAGCAGTAAGATCTGCAACGGTTTGCAGCTCTGGGCCTTTGGCTGATTTTCAACAGAATGTTCTATGAATATAAAGGGATTTGTCCCCACCGTCAGGTAATTATTTGGGGGGAAATAAATTGTCTTCTTGTTAGTAAATATGGTAATAACTTATTGGATTAAGTTTCATATGCTTTGTTTCTGGCAAGATTGTAGCTTTTTCACACATTCTGAAGAATGCATGAGGGTTTATAATTGCTAGGAGCTATGGCTATACATGCTGACCTCCTCTTTATGTCATCCCTGCACTGTGCTGTGCTGTTCCATTTCCAGCTGCCATGTTGAGTTGCCAGCTCAGAACTCAGGTTCAGAGGGACCAAGGTATAGAATGAGGGAGCAAGAAAGTGCATGTAGAGCAGGGCTATTGGGCCCAATCCCATTCTCATACCCAGTGAGTCCTCACATATTCTTTAGAAACTAAGGAGAGTTTGCCTTTCCTTATGTACTGAAATCCAAACACTGCCCAGTCTCTGAACTGAGAGAAGTGTTATAAAAACAAAAGTTCAATTGCTTCCCCAAAACAGCTGTGTATAAACTTCCCCTTTCTCTTCTGCATTTTTTTAAAATTTACAACATTATGCTAGTATCTAATTCTCAGCCAATGGTATAGAATTAAGGGAACTTGATATAACAGTGCTATGTACGAAATTGGTAGTGAAGGATGATAATTTCTTTTAATATTTCAAAATAACAGCTTATGAACATTCACAAATTTCTTCATAAATTGGATAGAGTTCAAAACAATATTTGAAATGAAAACCAATAGTAAAAATAAACAGAATTTGAAAGTTTGGACCAGACAACAAAATTTGTGTACTGAACTAAGGTTATTATCTCTTTCAGTTATTCTTTTTAGGGTTCTCATTTTTAACAGCTACATAGCAGGAAGGTACAATATGATCTTCCCCATGATAGTAATATCTGTACCTACTGAGTTTTTGACAAATGGACAAAGGCAAAAATGTCATTTGACTTGGCGGGGACGGGTTTGGACAAGCGAATATCACAAAAGTGGAAGTTCCTTCATAAGTGAGATTCAAACAGCTTGGAAGTTGTTTAAGTGGTAAGATCTATTTCAGAAAAGTAAACTTTAATGTAACAGTTTTAGCATCAAATAAAGTCTCTTTCCACCCTCATGCATTGCAATAGAACTCTTTTCCTAAGCTATTCTATAAAGTGGTTTTGATTCTCCTTAATTTCAAAATCTGATTGGCCTACAGGTGGATCTGCTTTTAGAGAATAAGAGAGATCATCTTGGTCTCAGAGCTTCCTTGATGAGTTCTAGCTAATATTTTTCAGGACTCTACCAAGGACTCCATAATATTTTTAACTTATGGGATATAATGAAATTTTCTGTAAGAAGCAAAAAAAAAAAAGAATAGAATTATGCAGTTTTTAGTATGTAAGGCACAATTTTTAAAGTTACAATTAAG